CGATGGCCCACTCTGGCACCTGTTTTTCAGAGGAGCAATACTTTAAACACTGAGATGGATAGTTTTCCAAGACACAGCTATAAAGCAAGGGCTTTCCAAAGCAGACTCCACAGGGTATCAAGCTGGAAAATGGAGTGCCACAGGAGACAGTGCTCTAGTTGTTGAAAAAATATGAAGCAGCAGATTGAAAAGTGAAAGAAAATAAGAAAGCAGTGAGATTTTTTAAAAAAGAGAATGGTAAGTAATTTTTAAGTGAAGTGTTCAGTATCTTATATTTATGTACAATACCAGAGGCCTGGTACACAAAATTCGTGCACTGGGGAGTGGGGGTCCCTCAGCCCAGCCTGTCCCCTCTCACAGTCCGGGAGCCCTCAGTGGATGTCCTACTATGGCTTAGGCCCGCTCCCCGTGGGGAGCGGGCCTAAGCCACAGTCTGGCAGCAGAGGCTCAGAGCAGGCGCCCTGTGTGTGTGTGCTGCTTGGCTTCTCTGCTGCGGCCGCAGCAAGGCTTGGCTTCTCTGCTGTGGAGAAGCCGAGCCTCTTCAGTCTTCAGTCTTCAGTCGGACCGGAGCCTTCAGTCTTCACTCTGAGCCTGCGTATCGCAATTAACCGCCATCTTTGGTGGGTTAATTTGCATACTCATCTGATTGGCTGGTGGGCGTAGCGAAGTGACACCAATTTGCATGCTTCTCTTTTATTAGTGTAGATGCCTACCTAGAAATTCACATAGCAATACCTACTAATATAGATAATAGGACCCTATGAGGTATGGGATTTTAACTTTTTTTTTTTAAATAGAAGATTAAGCACAGAGAACAGTCTTGATGTTTAGGCCTACAAGCCACAGTCAGGCCAGAACAAAAATCAACCCATCTTTCCTTTGCTTAAATTCTCTATAGCAGTGATTCTCAGACAGGGGCGACTTTACCTCAGGACACTTGACAATGATTGGACATATTTTTGGTTATTACAGCTAGAGAGTGGATAAGGCATCTAGTGGATAGAAGTCAGGGATATATCTAAACATCCTGCAATGCACAGGATAACCCTCTGCATCAACGAATTATCTGGCCCAAAATGCCAATGGTGCCTGGGTTGAGAAACACTGCCCTATTGCCTTTTTTTTTTTTTTTTTTACAGTGGAGAAGCTCCAAGGCTTGGCCTCCTGGGCTGGGTTCTTCCCCAAGCCTTGCACCCGGAGTTGGTGGTGATAGTGAGCCAAGTTCATGATCATCTTGGACACATCCTTTTGGTAAGAAGGCTGACCAAATATCAGGATCTCAGTCTTGCCTTCAGAGTCCCGCTGATTAATGTAAAGCAGGGTCTGTGACACACACTCGACGTGCAGAATGTGCTCTCCATCGGGGCCAAAGATCGCTTCCACCAGCCATGCCTCAAGGTGAAGTGTCTTCGGACTCTTGAGGTACTCTGTGGAACCAGCAGGGCTGCTTCGTGATGTCACTCAGCACCTGGAACGGCGCCCCTACCCGCTGCTCCAGTTGCATGAGCTTCGGAAAGCACTTGGGGGTGGCCATACTGCGGTGGGCCACGCAGAGAATGCTGGTGTAGATGCAGATGGGCCTGGCTCTGCCCTATTGCTTTCAAAATGATGGAAATTACCCGGTGAACTAGGGTTTTAAAAGATGATTAAGTTGAATTCTCTCTATAGCTTTTGCCTATTTAGAAGGATCTGGTAAGATTATGAAATCATGCTTTCAGAAGTGAATTTCTATAGACTATCTGATTCTTTACAGGAAAAGTTTGCTGACCCCTATATTTTAGCTTCACAGCAGGTGAAAGGGAAGGGGGCAGGCCTCTGTGAAGACTAACTCCTGACTCCATGAGGACAGAGGCTCTCAAAATGTGATCTTGGGCCAATAGCATCAGCATCACCTGAGAGCTTATGCAATACAAGTTGTGTTTTCACAAGAATATTAATTAGGAAATAAGCAATCAAACACATTTCCAGACAGATATAAAAATGTAGAAATTTAACAACAGCATATACAAAAGATAAAAAATAGCTATTCCTGCTGAAAATAAGTAAAAGAAATACGGCTAGGTAGAGCCATGTGGACAGCTTCTAGGAAAGTCTGACACCTACATATATAAAGCCATTTCTTCCAAAATCCTGTGTAAAAAGATACTGTAAGGATACTATACGTACAGGATACTATAAGTATGGCACACACTTGTATCTGCTTTTAAGACCTCGATCTTTAATTTACATGAAAAATTCTGTCAGGTCCATTATTTTAGTCCCTCTACCTGGGAAGCTACCAGAAAATATTTTTTTGCTACATAGGAATGGAAAAGTAATTACTTCCAGACTCAAGGGATGACAAAAGGAAACATCCAAATCAAAGACAATACGGTCTTTGAATACCGATGTAGATAAAAACATGTTTCCAAACCTGACTGTTCTGGCAGCTTAAGAGTTAACGAAGCTCCCAGACCACAAAAAATTAAGTGAGATGCAGCTGATGGATATGAACTCAACTTAAATGGAGACTCTAGCAGGAAACCTAGCATTGTTCATTGTGATTTTCTATTTATAATGTTAGGTTGGCATGCTCCAGGTTTGTAATGATGAATACCTCAAAATCATTAAATGATAATGTTGGTCATTAGTATATACTAAGTCAATATATTTATATTCTTAATCAACATTTAGAAATACATTATTATTGAAGTTTGCTTTTAAAAACATCCTTGAAAAGGTTTCATTTCCAACAGCTAGCAGAATGAATAAAAACATGCAATGTTTAGAGCCACCCTGACCTGTCAATGACAGTGAGAACCTGACCTTAAGCACCAAGTATAATATGCTGAGAACAGCTCCATTTGAAGGCCTCATCAAGGAAAATTATTTTTAGAACACACTGACTGCTCAATATATAACAGATGGGTTATGTCTGAGTTATGGTGAAGTCACAATTTGTCCATCTATCTGTCACCACAGCAATAACCACTTACAGAACTGTCCACTCCTGCCTAACAAGTAGCCCAACAACCAGTGACATTAGATTGTGGGGGGGAAAGTATCTCCAACAGTCATTTTCTTAAGATGATCTAGGTATCTCTTGTGGACCCACCAACAGTTTCATCTGGCTAGTCAGCGGCTCACTAGATATGTTTTTCATAGCAACTTACTCCACAGAAACTGAAGAGCAAAGACGTCAAGCAACAGAGCCAAACCAGTTTTCAGATTTATGCCCACAGTGCCCTCTACTGGCTGCTCTTTGTCATAGCTACTTGATCTGCAGGAACTAGATTACCACCATTAAGAATATTGTTCCCCATAGTACAAGACAGAATTCAAACTCTAAACCTCTCCCTAAAACAGAAACAGTCAAACTGGTCCCTGTCAATCAGATACACCCATGTCAGACTACTATTTGGAAGTCTGAGCAATATAAGGAAACAGGAATCAGTTCAAAAAATAAGAGTAAGGTCAAGATTAACAAGAAAAACTTAGATTGGGTCCAAAAAGTTGATCAACAGAACAAGTCTACATATTTGAAAAGAAAAGAAATGCCTGACAAAGCATTCTGATGAGACAGAACAGAAGCGAGCAAAAACAGTGATCCAATTTAAACAGAACAGCCAACACAGAGCTCACTGGCAACCTTCAGGGTACCACATACCTGAGAACACAAACATGCATGTTAGGTTTTATGTTCTTTTCCCGTCAATACGGAAAAGAATGGGTGGGAACATGCAGCTCCACTAGTCTCGCTGGCATTAAGCTATTTATTTATTTTTAATTTTTATTTTTTAATACATATATATTTTCAGAGAGGAAGGAAGAGGGGGAGAGAGAGATAAAAACATCAATAATGAGAGAGAATCATTGGTTAGCTGCCTCCTGCACACCCTCCACTGGGGGATCAGCCCGCAACCCAAGCATGTGCCCTTGACTGGAATCGAACCTGGGATCATTCAGTCTGCAGTCTGACACTCTATCCACTGAGCCAAACCAGCTAGGGCTAAACTATTTGTTTTTGACAAATGCACATACCAGATGGTAGAATCAGCTCCATGGTTTCATCATCATAATCCAAGGTCTTTTCTGAAGGCAACTCCTCGGTCTCATCAGGATCCTCCCTGTCCTTGTGATCTGGGTAGCTACTCCTGAAAACAGTGAAAGGTATTAATAAATAGACTAACACCTCAAATTTAACTGAAGACATAAATTGCATTTACAAATGTGGCAAATCCACTTGCTACCCAAAAGGGGCAATACAGAGTTGAGGGTCTGTCTATAGACAGAAAACAACTTTTTAACATTTTCTCTGAAGTAAAAGTGCACAAATGACTTATGAGCTCAAAACAGATCATAGAACTAAATAGAAAGCACAAAACTATAAAACTCCTAGAAGATAACACAGGAAAAATCTAGGTAATTTGGGGTTGTGTGATGACTCTTTTTAGGTACCACAACAAAGACAGGACCCATAAAAGAAAAAAAAACTGATAAACTGGACTACATTAAAATTAAAAACATCTATTCTGTGAAAAGAAAATTTCAAGAGAATTAAAATATAAGCCACAGACAAAAGATTTTCAGAAGATACATCTGAAAAAATACTGTTATCCAAAATATTAAAAAATAAAACTTTTAAACTCAACAATAAGAAAACACCCAATTAAAAAGTGGGCCAAAGACCCTACAGACACCTCACTAAGAAGATATACAGCTGGCAAATAAGCGTGTAAAACGACGTGCCAGATCATATTATCAGGGAAGTGAAAATTAAAACAATGAGATGCTTAAATTTGGCCACAATCCAAATGCTGACAGCACCAATGTTGATGAGGTTGTGGAGCAATAGCAATTCTCATTCATTGCTGGGGGGAATGAAAAATGGTATGGTACAGCCACTTTGGAAGACAGTTTGGCAGCTTTTTAGAAAACTACTGACATATGGTAATTCTCTACCATATGGTCCAGAAATCTTGCTACATGGTATATCCGCAAAAGAGCTAAAAACTACTGTCAACACAAAAATCTACACACGGATATTTTTAGCAGTTTTATTCATAATTGCTAAAACTTGCAAGTAACTAAAATGTCCTTCACTAGGTGAATGGATAAACTGTGGTACATCCAGGCAATGGAATACTATTCAAGACCAAAAAGAAATGAGCTGTCAAGCCATAAAGACATGGAGGAACCTTAAATGCCTATTAGTAAGTGAAACAAGCCAGTCTGAAAAGGCTACTGAATGATTCAAACTACATGAAGTTATGGAAAAAGCAAATCTATGGAGTACGTCAAGATCAGTGGTTTCCAGGGTCAGGGGTGGAGGGAGGGAACATACAGGATTTTTAAGGCAGTGAAATTACTCTGCATGATACTATAATGGTGGATACCTGTCATACATCTGTTCAGTGTAGAATACCAGAGTGAACTCTAATGCAAACTACGGACTTGAATAATGATGAGTCAGTGCAGGTTCATCAATTTTAACAAATGTACAATAAGTGGAAGATGTTGATAACCTGGGAGGCCATGCACGTGTGGGGGCAGGGGGGATATGGAAAATCTCTGTACCTGCTGCTCAATTTTGCTATGAACCTAAAATTGTACTAAAAAGACAATGAGCAGATTACCTATAATTGAATTTTTTTTACCTATTTGTTTCTCTCTAGGAAGGTAGCCATAAAGGGAGAGAAAATAGAGCTGGAAATGCAGCTCTCGTCAATTTAACCATTATAATAATAAGTTCTGTAAACTGATGGTTGCCAGATGGGAAGGGTGTTGGGGAGAAGAGTGAAATGGGGAAGGGATTAAGATTTACAAATTGCCAGTTATAAAAACAGTCACAGGGGATTGCATGTAACACTATTATATTTAAAATCATTTTTCTTGAGATACTAATTGCATGTATTATTATATTTAAGATAGTTTTTCTTAAAATATTAACGTTTATTGCATGTAACATTATTATATTTAAAATCGTTTTTCTTGAAAAAAAAATAAAGAAGCTTTCCCTTTTAACAGACTGGAAAAGAACAAAAAAAAAAAAAACAAAAACCAGTCACGGGGGAAAAAAGCAGTCACTGAGTCCTGAGTCATGAAGTACAGCATAAGTAATACAGTCAATAATCTATACATATAAAAGGCCAAGTGACCGACCGTCCATCCATCCGACCGGCACCTATGACGCGCACTGGCAATTTAAAGATAAACGTTGACTTGCACATGCACGATACATATAAAGCTCTCGCTGGTGCCAATCGCACGCCTGTGTTTTGATCTGTCATTGTTGATCATGAATTTGGTTGACACTTCTATTATAGAGAAAGGGTAAATAGTGATATTAAAATATTTCTTCTAATTAATTTCCTTTCAATGTGCACCGGGCCATTAGTATTATAATACCTATGTATGGTGTCAGATAAGTACTAGATTTACTGGGGTAATCACTTTCTAAGTTATATAAATGTCTAATCACTATGTTGCACACCTTAAACTAATATAATATTGTATGTCAATAGTAATTGAAAAAAATTTTTTTTTAAATTCTAGAACAAAGCTGTCCAATAGACCTCTGGGATAGAGAAATTATCTGTATGTTCCAAATCAGTGTGCTGTTAAGCACTGAGCTATGACAACTGAAGAACTAATAGTAGTTGTGCAACTGAAGAACTAATTTTTTTTTAAATTTATAATTTAAACTTAAATAGCCATATGAGTACACTTAGTAATTACCATATTGGTGCAGTTCTAGAAGACTATGTGCCTAAAAATGTTCACAAATATATAGAAAGTAATTGGAAAAATGCACATAAAATGTTAACAGTAGACAAATAACCCAAAAGAATAACAGACAAAAGACTTGGTCAAACACTTCACAAAGAGACATCTAAATGGTTAATTTATAAAAGGTCCTCAATTACAGTGGTCATCATCAGGGAAATGTAAATTAAACCCACAATGGGTTACCACTACACAAAAATGACAAAAATGACAAAAATACCAAAGTGACAAAAATGAAAAACTCCTTTACTACAAGAGACATAAGGAGGAAAAAGCAAAATGACAACAGAGAAGATTAGGACTTTTCTGAATACTTGTAGCATATGGTGTAAGCACACCTGGCATGTAGTTATACACACCTGCTTGTGTGGCACACCTGTGCTAGGTCGTCGGCATCTTGACACTAGGAATTAGCTGTTCAAGAGTGCCTACCATAGATTCAGTGCATAGTATTTCAATTATACAAGTTTCTGGTAAAGGGGAACCACCTATGGGATCATCTCACCATCACATGACTGGCCTAGTTCAGCAACCGCCTCAACCCCCTTAGGAAACAGCTTGTGCCTGAAGGACTCTCAGGGAAACCAAAACCTAATGCCTGTGTTTCTGTTAAGGTCAACTGGCAAAGCTGAACTCCTGATCATTAAACCGCCAAAAGCCCCCGAGTTTTCAAGTCAAACAAATTTCAGTTTGGGGCCTGAGAACTTCTCTTTATCATATGTATGTGTTTAACTTTGTTACACTCAGTTTCTTATCAACAAAACACGAGCGAATAACCTGCCATATAGAGATGTTATAAGAGGTATGAAGACTATATTGTATGGTGCCAGACACAGATCAGGCACTGGCACTTCTAATATCACTTCAATGCAAAGACGATGACTTCACTTTGCTTCACATTACAAACCACAGACCTACCTGAAGTCATAGAAGTCTGCAAATTCCAAAGCAGCATCCCCGTCTGTGAAGAGCTTACAGTGGCTTTTGTCATTCATGTGTGCCTGCACAGCTTCCGTGGAGTAAAAGGACTTCCCTTTCTCATTGCACCATAAGCAAATCTTCCCAACACCAACTTTCTCTCCTGACAAAATAATTTGAGGGGGAAAAATATGAAAAAAAGCTTTTGTGGCCAGGTGCAATCTCACCATGTATCTGCACAATTCAAAAAAAAAAACCAAACATGCACCAAATTTCTGATCTTCACAAAATAAACATGTACTAGTAATTAAGTCAAAGATTGATGAAAAACATAAAATTAATGTTTCCTTAAGACCTGCCCCCCAATTATGTGCTATTTCCTCATTAAAAGGAAAGCTACTGTACTTACCCAAATACTGGATCAGTCCCTTAAGATCCGAAAGATATTCTATATCAGGAATAAAGAAGCTGTGGATTTTAGTCATGTGAGCCACATTCTTCATGAGGGAGCTTGAATGATGGGAACAAAATAAGCAGTCCTTTATGGAGATGGCACCAAGAGGAGCGCCTGCCCCCGCCTCTTCCTCCTCTGCATCCTGCTCCTCCAACTCGTCCATCGATTCCGCATCTTCACATTCCATTTCTTCGTCAGAATCAATATCTTCCCAATCTTCAAGCCAGAGATTTGAGAAACAAGGTTAGTTTAAGAAAAGTGGTGACCACAATGTAAGAAACCACACAAACATACAAGCATGAGGTGGTAGTTGCTGACTTACCTCCCAGGACAACCCCTCTTCCAAGATCTCAATTTTCACCCTTCCTTTCCCACAGACCAAGCTGTAAGGCTAAGAAACACCTTCACCTCTCTTCTCCAGCCCACAGTAAACTCCTTGAAGGAGTCTCTGCGTCTTCCCCGTGTCTCTATGTACACATACAACCGGTGTTGACAGGATGTGTGACGAGGGAAAGGAGGAATAAATAACTCAAAGTCAAGGAGCCAGGTTGCTGGCTCCAGCTGCTCATTCCAGGTTAGGAGCTGGTTCTGAACCTCTCCTTTCACTGTGTCAATCAACTAAATTAAGTGCAAATCCATGGTAACTAGAAACCCGAGAGCATTTGGTCCTTCTATTTTTCCTTCTCAACCTGTGGGTCGCGAACAATGAAAATACATCCATCCTGCATATCAGATATTTACATGACGATTCATAACAGTAGCAACACTACAGTTATGAAGTAGCAACGAAAATAATTTTATGGTTGGGGGTCACCACAACATGAAGAACTGTACTAAAGGGTCGCGGCATTAGGAAAGGTTGAGAACCCACTGTGCAAAAAGCCTCCTCATTCACAACAGAGAGGGCGGTCAATTCCCTCCGCAGGTGTTTATTAAGGACACACCTTTCCCCGCCCCCAAGGCTTCAGGCCCGGAATGCACAACAGTGAACGAAGCAGACTGTTCCCCGCGCGGCTACTGGACAGACAAGCGACCTCAGAAAGCATGGAAGCCGCTCCCATCGCTTTCATTTAAAGACACCCCCCCGCCCCCGACTACACACACACACACCGGCCCTTACCGTCTCCATCCCAGGTCCCCCTCCTCGCTCTCCTCCTCGCCCTGTTGCTTTGCCAGCTTCTTCGCCTGCCGTTCAAACCACTGCAACCGGGGAGGTTTCTCGGCCGGGTCTCGGTCGTCGGCCGCACGCCCTCCTTCGGCCACCGCCCCGGGACCCCCGGAGTCCTTCCCCGGCGCCGGAGGGGCCCTCTTGGGAGACGGCTGGGCCTTGATGACCTGCTGGATGGCCGCGTTCATGGCGTCCTTGTCAACACGGTCCACGCCCAACCCTTTCTCCAAGTTCTTTTCATTCATCATCTCCACCCTGCGACTCACCGCCTTCCTCTCCAGCTCCACGTGCCGCCGGGACCGGAGGTGGTTTTCGTAGGCGTTCGCACAGGCGAACTTCTTACTGCAGACGGTGCAGTAGGTGGCCGTGCCCTTGCTCTCCTCCTCCGCCACGGCCCGCTGCGCCCGCACGCGCTCCTGGAAGCCCTCGGCCGTGACGGGGGCCATGTCGGCCACCTTCCGCTTCAGGTTGTAGCGGTGCCAGTCCGTCTTGTAGTGGGCCCGCTGCAGCTCGGGGTCGCCGAACGCCACCCGGCAGGTGATGCAGGTGTACGTCGCCATCCCCCGGCAGGAAATACGAGGCGACAGAGGCAGAAAGCTAGCGACCGGCGCCCCGACCCCACGACGCGCTCAAACCCTAACTCGCCTCACCGCCCGCGAAGACGTGGAGTGGGCACCGACTTCCCGGCTGTATCTGAGCGAAAAGATGGAACAGAAAGGAAGTTATTCCGGGATGGACAGGAAGTCCCGCCTATCGGCCGTGCCCCTTCCAATGAGAAGCCAGGAAGGCGAGAGATGCCATTGGCTAACAGAGCCATGCCCAGTCACCTGAGGCGGGCGTTGATTGGATCGGCCTGGTGTGGCTTGTATGCTCCGAGGTGTGTTTTGATTGAGTCCACCGGGGTGGGTGGTGATCCTAAGCCTCCTACCAGCGGTTCTCAACCTGTGGGTCGCAACCCCTTTGGCGGTTGAATGACCCTTTCACAGGGGTCGCCTAAGACCATCCTGCATATCAGATATTTACATTACGATTCATAACAGTAGCAACATTACAGTTATGAAGTAGCAACGAAAATAATTTTACTGTTAGGGTCACAACATGAGGAACTGTATTTAAAGGGCCAGGAGGTTGAGAACCACTGAGTCCTACCTATAGGGTTCCTTTATTTACTTTCCTTCGCGGTTTGGGGAGAGACGTGATGGCGATCGGTGGACGGAAGGGGAAGGGGGGCGCCCCGGTGGCTCCGGGCCTGGGAGGACCCCGAGGGTGGTCCTGCGTCCAAGCGACCTTCGGGCTTTTCGGAGGATCGGGCGGACCGCCCCTGCCGCCTGGTGAATCGGTGCCACGAAAGCGAGGTGTCCGCCCAGCCGAGCCCTCACCATTTCGGCTGGAGTCCAATGAGGGACACTGGACACGCAGACCTGAGGCTGAGGGAATTCACAGGAAAAACCGGAGAGTCCAGACCTTGCCGGAAGCCGGTACATCCTTCCCCACAGTCGCTGCAGGGAAGAAGCATCTGCACAGCATATGTTTCAGGGGATCTGGCGTATATGGCATACTGTTCTTGATATGTTTGCTCCCCTTCTTGGCGCTGTGTGTTTTAAACAAGGTCACCTCTCTGAGAAAGGTTGTTTCCCCAGGTAGGGATTTTTCCCTGAAGTTAGGGAGGGAATAAAACCCCTTAACTAAGTACCAGGTGGGTAGTTAATCACTTTAACTAAGAACAATCATGCTTAAGCTACATAATCTTTACTCCCTGGAATGGAGATAAGAAATGCCCTGCCGAACCGGTTTGGCTCAGTGGATAGAGCATCGGCCTGCGGACTGGGGGGTCCCGGGTTCGATTCCGGTCAAGGGCATGTACCTTGGTTGCGGGCACATCCCCAGTAGGGGGCGTGCAGGAGGCAGCTGATCGATCTCTCTCATCGATGTTTCTAACTCTCTGTCCCTCTTCCTTCTTCTCTGTAAAAAATCAATAAAATATATTTAAAAAAAAAATGCCCTAACCTTTGGAATAGAAATTGACAGGATTAAAATCAACTGGTATAAATACAGATATAACAAGACAACAGGCGACAGGACCTAGAGACAGAACCTAGCAAGAGAACATGGCAAAAGATCCTGGACAGAACCTGGCTACAGAACTTGGCTGGAGAACCTAGACAGAACATGGCAAAAGAACCTGGATAGAACCTGGCTGGAGAACCTGGCTAAAGAACCTGACGACCGAACCTGGCTGGAGAACCTGGAGAACCTAGCGAGAGAACATGGCACCAGAACTTGGTTGGAGATCCTGACCAGAACTTGTTGGAGATCCTGACCAGAACTTGGTTGGAGATCTGAACCAGAACTTCGCTGGAGATCCTGACCAGAACTTGGCTGGAGATCTTGGCTAGGCTGCTGATCAACTGAAGGCTGCCTCCGTGTCATTCCTTCTTCGCCGACTCCGTCCACACCTTTGGGGATCCCTGGACCTGCTGGGGCTGGACCCCAACAAGGCCTGAGCCGGGTGTATGGGGCGAACCTTCGAGGGAAGTCCCGAATGAAAAGTGCCAGCTAGGAACAAAGAGCCAGCCAAGTCCCTGCCCAATAGAAATTAATCCAAGCCACGCATGTCGTCTTAAACCGAATATAGCCACGATTTTAAAAAGCAAAAAGAAAGAGGTTAAGATTGATATATTTTAGTTATCCCACTAGTATAGCCACAATATTATCATTTCAACATGTAATCATCCAAAAGACTTAATGAAATTTTACGTTCGTGTGTTGGCACTAAATTTGGAACTCGAGTGTATTGTACAATTAACAGCACATCTCCATTCGAACTAGCCTCATTGACGTCTCAGTTAATCCTATGACCTCAGAGGTAGCCGCGCAGTTTATAGGAACCATGAATGTTAAAGGTTTACAGAGTTCCCAGACTCATCTGCACAGTCATCACAGTTACCCACTGAACCTTATATCTTCAGAATCCAAGTGGCTCTTATCACCAAAGAAGGTAAGAGATGTTTTTACCAATCTAGATCAAAGCAAAGTTGCCCATGTTACTCAAAACCCTCCAGGGGCTTCCCTTGATTCCGAATAAAATTCAAGCATCTTTCTACTATGATCTGAACTTTTGTGCCCCACCCCCCATCCCCAAATTCATATGTCAAAAGAAAACCTATGCCCAAGCTGGTGGTGTAGGGGGGAGTTGGGGGGGGGGGGGGGACAGGTCTTCAGGAGGTGAGTAGTGGTTTTTTCAAAGCTATCCAGGAGAGGATACAATAAGAATCTACACAATGGAATACTATGCTGCAGTAAAAGAAGGAATTCTTACCATTTGCAACAGCATGGATGGAACTGGAGAGCATTATGCTAAGTGAAATAAGCCAGTCAGAGAAAGATAAATATCACATGATCTCACTCATTTGTGGAATATAACGAACAACACAAACCGATGAACAAAAACAGATCCAGAGACAGAGAAGCATCGATCAGACCGTCAAACCTCAGAGGGAAGGTAGGGGAGGGTGGGGGTAAGGGGGAGAGATCAACCAAAGGACTTGTATGCATGCATATAAGCCTAACCAATGGACACAGACACCAGGGGGGTGAGGGCATGAGTGGGAGGATAAGATCACATGTAATACCTTAATCAATAAGGAAGTTAAAAAAAAAAAAGAATCTGTGACAAGGAAGAGGTCCCTCACCAGACCATGCTGGCACCCTGATCATGGACTTCCAGCTTCCAGAACTGTGAGAAATAAATTTGTTGTTTATAAGGCACCCAGTCTATGGCATTTTTTTATAGCAGCTTGAACAGACTAAGCTACTTTTTATTCTAGGAGGCCCTATATGATCTGCCACCACCCTGACCCCCTACCTCTGACCTCCTGCCGCACCGCCTTTCCCACTCTGCTCACTTCTCTTCAGTCATATTGAAACTGTTGCTGTTCCTCTAACAAGGCTGAGCCAACATCTTTTGTTGGTACTAAGTCTTAGAAACCCTTTGAGTTCTGCTTGGAACATTCTTTTACTAGATTACTTCCTTCAAGGTTTCTGCCCAAATACCTTTACAAGAGAGGCCTGTCCCTACCCTCTTATCAAATATAGTGCCTACCCCCCAAATCTCAAGCATAACTCTTCTCTATAGCACTGTATTAGTTATTACTCTATGAAATTACCCCAAAATTTAGCAGCTTAAAACAATAAACTTTGATTAGCTGAGTTTCTGTAGATCAGGAATGTGGGTGGCTCAGGATGTCATAAAATTATAGTGAACATGTGGGCCAGGGCTGAAGTCCTGTGAAGGTTTCACTGTGGCTGAAGGACACCCTGAAAGATGGCTTGTTTACAGGCTGATAGCAAGAGGTTTGGGTTCCTCGCTGAGTTGAGTGTCCTCATAACGCGGCAATTGGCTTCCTCCACAGAGAGCAAAGTGGAAGCCATAATGTCTTTTATGACTGGTCTGGGAAGTCACAGTTATTTCCACAATGTGCTGTCGCTGTCAGGTGCTGTTTATGGATGGGGGAAGGTTCTGAAAAATACCTAGTTAGGCAGCTTTGTTTTGTGAACATCATAGAGTGCACTTACACAAATCTAGATGGTATGGCCTACTACACACCTAGACGGTGTGGTATAACCTGTTGCTGCTAGTTTACAAGCCTGTACAGCAGGTTCCTGTACAAAACAACATGAGATTAAATCAAGTACAAGAGAAAATGGGAAAAAAAGAAAAGAAATAAAAGAAAAAATTTTAAAGAGAGAAAGTGATACAACCAAGATGAGGTAAACAGGCGATGCATGAGACCGCTGGCAGAACACAGCATACTTTTTTTTATAATTAGAAAAAGTACACACTAATAAAAAGTATAGTAAACACCTGAACTGGTGGCATAGGCTTATATTATTAACAAGTATTATGTACTGTACGTAACTGTGTGTACTATGCTTTTATATGACTGGCAGGTTTACATCAGCGTCACCACAGACATGTGAGTAATGTGTTGTGATGTCACTAGGTGATAGGAATTTGTTAGCTCCATTAGATAATCTTATGGGACCACGCTCATATCTGTGGTCCATCATTGGCCAAAACATGCTTACTGTGTACACGTCTGTACTTACAAAGGTCGACCTTATTTAATGAGGAAGGGGTCTACATAAGGGTGGGAGTGGGGTGTTTTGGGGACCATTTTGGGAAATTGGCTGCCACTAGCATTTGCTGTTTGACTGTTCCCAAGTTTTAGCATAGAAAGTCTTGTATCCAGGACACCCCTCCATCTGGGCAACCCGGGATGGCATTATAGTTTCGTCACCCACACTAGCCTGTAAGCTCTGTGGAGACAGGGACACCTTTCATTGCTGTATGCTACAGTCGTGCTAGAGCAATACAGAGACTGTTCAGTATTTTCAAATGAATTTTTTATAGTGCAAAATTAAGTCAGACTTTCCTAAACTATTGTTCATGTCATCCCTTCTGTTCAAGAATGGTTATTTGTTGCCCATAGGCTGAAATGAAAATTCCTTTGCCTGGCTTTCATAACCTTCCTCCCATGCTACCTATCTCCACTGTGTTTTTTCCATGCCACCAAGCAATTCTCCAACACCAACCGAGTGTCCTCTATCTCAACTCACTCCAGTCACTCTCTACCTGGAGATACCACCACACCCCACAGGTTCCCATGGCCCCTTCTCAGGTTTACTTTGTTAGAACAGCTCACAGAACTCAGGAAACCAGTTTACTTACTAGGTTACCAGTTTATTACAAAGGACAGTAAAGGATACAAATGAACAGCCAGATGAAGAGATACATGGAGTCATGTCTGGAAGGGTCCCAAACATAGGTTTTGTCCCTGTGGAGTTTGGGGTGTCCTACACTCTTGGCTAGAATATCTAGGTGCTTTCCAAAAGTCACCTTATTAACATAACAAAAAACACCTTTATAGCTCTCATCACTTAGGAAATTCCACAGGTTTTAGCAGCTCTGTGCCAGGAATGTATATTTCTCATTATAAATCACATCACCTATCCTTTATGATATTCAGCTAGTTCTAAACAAAGACAGCCCTACTTTCATTTTGGGATTTGTTATGAATGGTAAGAAATACACAATTAACTAATACCATGAAGCTGGGGTCAAGGACAATGAAATATAAAGGAAGAGGCAATGGAGTCTTTAGAATAGAGAAATTTCATCAACTAGGGAGATCAGAAAAGTTTTCATTAAGGAGTTGACCCATTCCAGATGGGCACTGAAAGAGGGGAAATACTGAGGACTTCATCTGCAAGTAGAAAAAGAAGAAAAACTGTGGAAGAAGGAAAATAAGGGACATATTTAGAATATGTCCAGTTTGGGCGAAGCATAGGATACAGTGAAAGAAGGGAAAATAAGTCTAGAAAGTATCAAATTATCATTGGGTAAAGCGTTGAACTGTATAGACTTTTTTGCTCATTCTTCATTGGTAAACAGCAGGGATGCAAAAGTGTCTCAGTTTACATGGACATCAGGAATAGAACTGGGCCTTCAGTAGATCCAGCAGCAGGAGCTGGAATTGATTAGAAAAATACCAGAAGAGCAGGTCTGCAGCCAATAGCTGCAAGCCAAATGACTAAAGGACCTTTGAGTTAAATTTTCCACAGCATATCCAGGTACTATGTTCATGTGTCTAATTTCTGCTGACAACTTATTAAAAAGGTCTATTACCAATTAATCATCCTACTGAAGAATTTAAACTGAGTCCGCCCATGACAAAAAAAAATTAGGTTTGAAAATATTGAAAATTCCTTCTGGATACTGTGACATAGCTTGTAAGTTAGTTCACTTAATTACCGAAGTGCTGATGTTATGGTGCACACTGTCACAGTGACAGTACCATGATGAGTGGTTCCTTTATAGGCTAGGAGATGTTGCAATGTTGATTTTTGGTAATTAAAAAAGTTAATAAGGTCACCTTCAAGTCAATTGATATAGTAGTGAGCACAATATTTGCTGGTTTCGGCTTACTACTTTTCACATTCCTATACTGCAGTGGCAATTGGGTTTCAGTAAGAAACTGTAAAGGAGATAGGGTTGGTTGAGGTTACCTTTCGGGGGTAACAAATATAGAATATAAAATGAACATTTAAGAAGTGGTTTACAATTTCTATGAATTCTGTGGTCATGAAAAAAATGTTAAGTATTGTGATTTTCAGTAAACAATTCCCCCACCCCATCCCATGTAGCTCGCAGTTAAAGGGAACACAAGCTAGAAGCTGTGTGCCCCAGTTACATGCAAGCATGTGCTGTGTAACTGAGCAACTTATTTAACCCTGTTCTTCTGGGGGGGGGGACCTCTTACTTAACAGTAATCACAAAGATTACACACAATCCCAAGTGTCATTGTTTTCTATGTTTTAGGTCAAGGGTTGGCTAACTTTTCCTATAAAGGGCCAGATAGTAAATATTTTAGGCTTTGTAGGCCTATGTTCTTTGTCACAACTATTCAACTTTTCTGTTAATAGCATGAATGCAGCCATAGACAGTACATGAATGAGTGTTCTAATAAAACTTTATGAATGTTGAATTTTGAATTTCATATATTTTTCACATCATGAAATATTCTTGATTTTTTTCAACTATTTAAAAATGTAAAAAAAAAATACTTTAGCTGGTATTCCATACAAAAATGTTGCAGGCCAGACTTGGCCCACAGGCCATAGTTTTCCAACCTCAGTCTTAGACACTTTATCCTCATAACATATTAGGAGGTGGGTGTTAGATGTTAATTTTATAGATAAAGGAAACAGGTACAGAGACGTGAGGTGACTACAGTCCCACAGCCAATAAGTGTTAGAACCATTAAACATGATTAGTGAAGAATCTCATACATGGTCCAGAGTCAGCTGAAATGATAGACGTTTTTGCAAAACTTTTCATCCTTTATTCCACAGCATTTATTGGGTTATGAGGCCAATAAAGTGTAGGCCCATCGAAAGAAACAGAGTTTTCTCATAAGCAGGTACTTGTTGATTGACTTGGTTTTCATGTTTGAAAAGATGGCTTAGTTGAAACACAGGCTGGGGGAAAAAATCACTATCTTGGTTTTACACAGTTTTTTTTATCCCCTGAAAGTGTTTCAGATGCTTTTTTCCTCCCATTCATTCTCAAAACATCCCTGTGAGAAGGTAAGAATTAGCTTCCTAATTTTATGTTGGGGACATTGGGGTAGTGGTCTTGGGATGTTATGTGACTTTGACATTGTGACTTAGGGCCATAATATTAACATCAGAACCAGACTCCTACTTCTGACATTCCATCCCAGCTGGAATGCTTTGGTGGAAATGGAGGGACAATACACACAAAAATAGTTCTGGGACTTTTTAATTTCATCATGATCACGAATGACCTATGACAACAGTTTAGTAAGTGTTTTCAGAATCATTTCTACCTTATAACTAATATAGTTGGAGCAGTGTAAACTCTACATCAACTAAATTATATTTTTCTTAAATGTAGATTTGCTTCTGACCTAAAATCGGTAATATGCTGGCATTTGCCACTTATTTAAAAGGAAGAAAATTGCCCTTATTTCAAATATTGCAGGGAGATGCCTAAAGGTGTTGAGGATGTTTGCCAATTGCAAAATCTTATACAAGTTTCTTTTCTTAAAAGAATACTAAGCTGGAGAGGGGCAATTTTTTAAAAATCACTTTTGAAGATTTTTAGGGTAGGAAAAAGCAAAGATGTTTCAGAATGAGAATATAAACACTGCTTTAACCCTGGGTTGACCTTCCAAAGCAAACTTGACCTTCTTGGACTCTGTTTTATTGTTTCAGATCAATATGCATGATCAATGTATACTATTCTCATTTTGCTCAGCATTTTCTACTGGAAATGAGCAAAACATTTTTCTACAACTCCTCTATAATTAAAAAATAAATACATGCTTCAAATTTTAATGACTGCATCAATCCTGATGTTAAGGGATATAGAGCCCCCCCCCCACCCCCCATACCGGATCAATCACAGGGTTTACTGTTACTATATCTTAAAATCAGAAACAAGATTATATATAATGCTCCCCCACCAAAAAACAAACAAAAAACCATAGACACCCAAAAAAATAAAACCCCTCCATATCCCTGTTAGTTTGAATTAAGAATACCATTATTGTATGTATATATTTGTGATCATATTCTCAAACAAATAACATTGAAGTGCCAGGTTCATAGGCAGACAGTGAAGATATAAGGTGATAAAGCCACTGTCGATAGAGAGCTGGCATGTCTCCTCCATAGTGCTGGTAACACATTTTTCTACCCTCCCTTGTCCTCATCCCCTCCCCATCCCGAAGACCCTTTTGACTTATAGTTAACAACATTTGATTCTAGTACATTGTTCATACCATCAACTCCTGAGTTTATCTTCTCGTGTAAGCTTGTCCACTGAATTGTAACACATTCTTTAATTATTTGGATTATTTAACTTCTTATTTTCCCCTCAATGAAGAAATTGAAATGACCTTCAAACTTTTTGACTTTGTGGCCAAAAATATTTTTTAAATGAAGAAACATACACATTTAAAAAAAAGGGAATCCTAGTCACCACTATTTATAAATGTGTGACTGTATTTTTCTTCATGTCCAGAAACTCTTATTGAATAGAATTCAGGTATATTTCTCCCAAACACACACAGTTCATAGATCTAACACCAAGTTTTCATTTGTACCAAAACGGGCAAGATAATGAAGGCACAGGCTCACTGTGTATCAATAAAGGACATCAAACACAGTCATGAGGCACTAATGACATATAAGCATAGTCAGTCACAAAAAGCAGGTGTTCAAAGTCTTCAGTAACTTCTCTCCCTTTAACATTTGGCAAAATTCAATCTAGATATTTTAATATCTCAGAAGGAAAAAAATAAGAGCTGCTACATTAAAATGTCACATTACCTATGATTAGACTAGCCTTTAGAAAATAAAATGAAGGGCGGGGATCACAGATTTCCTATATTCTTGGATTATCCTTCCTTTCTGAGGGTCGCAGATGTCTGTATGCATCTGCAGACATGCCAGCAGTACTGAAGATTGAAAAGACTGCCAACAGTCTTTGCTGGCATGGTCCCTCAACACTATTAAACGTTACATCGCAAAAGCACAATTAGCTTGATTCCTGCTCTTTAGTCCTCTGTTAAAAACCTCCGTCAAATTTGGTTATTAAAGGTGATCGAAAAAGTTTAAAATAATGGAAAAACATATTCTAGCTTCCCAATGAGAAACATTAAATATTTAGACTTCAATGGCAAATAAATACATAGTAAAGCCAAGCAAGTTTTTCTCCTGTAGGAGAATTTATACAGACTACAAAACAGTTATTTTTTTCTACTACTGATGACCACATCACTCACAGAACAGATCAGGAACTAGTTTCATGATTTTAAGAGACCGTTTTTTTTCCCATGACACTATATCAAAGGTGAGGGCTTAACCTAGATCTGAGCAGGCAGAATAGCTCTGCACTCATGATATCCCTATTACAAATATATGATAATTGAACCACAAAACATAGCCCAATATCTGTTTACAACGGTATACGTGATACATAATTACTTGCTTTCTATGGGTTAATATCACCCATTGCGGGACTAGAGCTGACAGTCAATGGAGCATGCCATTTACAAGTAAGCCTAAATCTACAACTGCAGAAATAACAATGGAAATGTACCAGCCTATCCAAAGGAGTTAAATACATTTTAAGAATTTTTCCTAGGAAATTGATTTTGATATTATTTTCCAAGTCTTCAACTAAAGATGCCTCAATAATTTTTACCTTTTTACAACAAAATCCACCAAAAATATTTATCTGTTTCCCAGTGTTAGGAACAAAGGGGTTGATATAACATGTATTCCCAATTAGTTATTAATGATTCAGTGAATTACAATAAACTGTTTTTGCATGCTTGAAAAATTAATTGTAAAAAAAAAATAATTGTAAAGGAAAAGTAAGGAGTACTTATGGAAGGATTGCAATAATTTCATGTTTTCTTTTTGCTTTAAATATAACCCCTAATATTCATCTCTGAAAAAACAGTATGTATGTATATGTGTGTATATATGTATGTATACACACATACATACATATACACACACATGTCAAGTTGACCCTTGAACAATGCGGGGGTTAGGGGCACCGACCCACTGCACAGTCAAAAATCTGTGTATATCTTTGACTCCCCCAAAAACGTAACTATTAATAGCCTACCACTGATGGAAGCCTTACTGATAACACATAGTTGATTAACACATTTTGTTTATGTATTATATACTGTATTCTTACAAGAAAGTCAGCTAGAAAAACAAAATGTCTAAGAAAATCATAAGGAAGAGAAAATACATTTATAGTATTTATTGAAATAATCCCGCACAGTTCAAACCCATTTGTTCAAGGGTCAATTGTATATATATATTTTTTCATTTCCATGCTTATTACATAAAAATAACTATCAGATATATCAATCTATCAGTGTCAGCTGATATATATCCAATTAATTCACTGCAGAAGGGAAAATAAGACAAAATAATCTAAAGCAATGAGTAAAGCTCACAGTTCAAAAACATTTTTTTCTTTTCTTTTTTTTTTTTTTTTTTGTTTGTTTGAAATTTTTTTGGTAGTTTATCTGTGCTCTGTCATATAAGCTGATTCCAGACTAATGGCCTCCCAGTAGATTTGAAAGGAAGCCTGAAGACTTCTTAGTTTGCTGTGCTTCTGCTTCCTGGTCTTGTGAAAGTCCCAATTCACTCTCAATTTGATCGAGCTCTGACTGGTCAAGGAGTTCAAAGTCATCCCCTTCTTCAGTGTCTGTGTCCTCTCCCGGGCTGGGTGCAGCCTGAGAAAGGGCTTGCTGCGCGCCCTCTAACTGGTCTTTGATAGCAGCAGTCACTGCAGCTGAGATGACGTCCCCAGCCAGGTTGCTCATCAGGTGAAAGGTTTGGTCACTGCTCAGAGGAAGGGTGAGACCAGCTGGTGACTGCCTCTCTTTGCTGGGTCTGAGGCCGCTGTCCAACTGTTCCTTTTTTCTCTTGAGCTCAGTGGGCAAGCCGAGGCTTAATTCATCTTCATCGTTTGTTCCCATGCCATTTTCTAGAGATGGAAAATCTGAAAGGCCTCGAGAGAAAACTTCCTCACTAGGTCGGTCAAGATCTGTAAAACGTACAACAGAAGTTCATGCTTAAGCACCATGATAAATTTGAAATGAAAGAGCTGTCTAAAAGATACTGATTTTAATCTAAACCCTCTGGGCAACCTTGGCATTCATCTAGCCGCCTGGTTCAGTTTAAATAAACTTAACCACACATATTGGACCCCTCCCAAATCTGGGGCACCATCTCTCCACAAGTACACAAATACTACATGACTCCCCTATTATGTCTTTAATGTTCCTCCTAAGCACAAAGCAGTGTACATAATGACTTACTATTCGACCTAACATTAGCTTGAGGCTTTGACTAAAGTTTAAATGTTCACCATAAACAAATATTTCATCCTGCCCCTGGGGAGGAAATTAGCTTGAGCCATTGTGGATATGTATGATCACAGGATAAGAAATATTTCAATTGGAGGTTTTCATGGTATCTGGTATAGCAGATGGGGACTATTACCCAACCTCAGCATTTTCATCCAGGAAGATATGAGTATCTGTAGCCTGTGTTTGTTTAAAGCAATTAATTAGAAGAAGCTATTGCTCCTTCTATTCCACATTCAACCTCAGAGCATATGGAAACATTTGGCTTTATATAAAAATAGCTGCAGGCTTGATCCCTGGCGGGGGGCGGGCGGGGGGGTGGTGTGCAGGAGGCCACTGATCCATGTTTCACTCTCACATCGATGTTTCTCTTTCCCTCTCCCTTCCTCTATCTCTAAAAATCAATAAAAATAGATATTTTAAAAATAGTTCATACCATTTTAACCAAACTAGTGTCCTGAACACATGTAGGAACATTTGTAAAATTTGGTACATTTGAAAGCAATGCCAGGTTCATAGGCAGACAATGATTTTATTTTCACGTTTCAGAGAAAATCTTTCAGTATAATAGGTAACTCATTACAACAGTGATTTGAAATCCTTGGTTTAACTAGCAAAAAGTCTCATCTGTGGGTTGGATTATCGTCCTTCCCTTGTGTAAATCTGAGGTGGGATGCTGAAAAACAAAGTGTTTGTTATCTAGGTCTTGTGGGTATTTAGCGCTTAGAGATCTTCGGTGAATGTCAGCGATCCTCTTGTTCTAATGCATTTTAAAGATGAGGAAATTAAGGTCCCCATAAATACCAGTATAAGGTCACACAGCTAATTACAAAGGCAAGCCAATACTTGGGTCTCCCAGTCCCCAAACCTGTCTTCTTTCCAACCCTGCACAGCCTCCCTCCTTTCTCTAGAATAGAGTGTTCTTGCTTGTAAAAGTACATAGAAGACAATTTATTCAGAATCCTCCATTATAGCCTGCTCATATTTTCAGTATATGGCTAAGATGACTTGAAATAATCCAATAAGACTAGCTAAAGTTAAGTTACTGCACATGAGTTGTCTCTCAATTTATTTTAAATTGTACTTAACCGCATTATTAAAATAAGAGCATTTCTTGTTTATTTTTAAACTGACTTTGAAGACAAACATGAGAAACCTTGGAGTCAGCTTCGGATTTGCGGAACTTGCCCTCCACGCTCAGTCCCTGTGAATGAGGGCTAGCCTCAGATATGTGAGATTGGTTTTTCTCTTCCCCTCCTCCCATTACCGCTATAAACAAGGTCACCAGGCTTTCGAGAAGTTAATTTTGTTCACTGTCAATATTTATATGTTTTCTAAATAAAGGCAGATTTTGGACACCCACGTATCTACTTTCCATTTATATGGCTTTGTCACATAAATGGAGTTATTCAATATATCTAGACTTGTCTGGCTTCTTTCATTTTGCCTGAAGTGTTCAAGGTTCATCCATGTTGTACCAAGTACTAATACTTCATTTCGATAGCCAAGTGACAGTCCATTATATATACCCCATTTTGGTTAGCCATTCAGCAGTAGACAGAGTTAAATATTTTGCATGCACTCATAATAATAAAAAAGAGAGAGAAACGTGAGCATACCGTCAGAAGTGTCTGTCTGTGGAGTGTATCCTTCTGAAAGGTTGAAGGTCCCATTGTCAGTCCAGGACACCTCGGATACGTCTGTGTCGGACACAGACAACTCTTTGGCAGCCACCGTGAGGCTAATCTGTGTTAATATAAATACCAGTGGCACATTCTAAACTTCTGTGGCAAATCTTTTGAAAACTCCATACTACCACCAAAAATGTCAGACTAATAAAAACCAGGTGAGTATTTTTCCTTTCAGAATTGTTCAATCATCTTAGAGAAATAGGAGGAGTCGATTGGGGAAATCATTCTGGCTTTAAATCAATTTACAGTCAAATTACACAGGAACAAATGGGAAAACTAAACAAAAAAATACCTTAGGACAAAGAGCTGAAAAGTCTAATTCACTGTCATCTTTGTGACTTTTTTCTTTGTCTGCTTCTGTTGAGAAAAAATTGGGGAGCTTTCAGTTTCCCGGCCAGCTTAGACATAGTGTATCTTATCCATTACATATCCTTACCCACATTCATTTTCTCCAACGCTTCCACGGAATTAAATATTTGCACATAACAAGCTTCACTTATTTGCAGAGGTGTGATTTTCAAGGGGAATGGTCCATATCAGGGTTCTCACAGTGTGGTCTCTGAACCAGCAGCATCAGCACCACTGGGAACTTGTTAGAAATGCGAATTCTCAGGCCCTACCCTAGACCGACTGAATCAGAAACTCTGGCGCCGGGCCCAGCAATCTCTGCTTTAATAAGCCTTGTTATTAAAAGGCAGTTGTGATGCATGCTATAGTTTGAGAACGTATAAGGTCACAGGACAAGTTAAAAAGTGAAAATTGATGACACTGATTTTCCCTCTATGTATTTTATTTCCCTTCCCATTCTTTTGATGCCTCTTCTATGGTTCCCACACTCTTAGTCCTACCTGTGTCATTTTTTATTTGCAATGGCCCACCCCAAAACAAAGCAAATTAAAGAAAGTAAATCGTAAATAGCAAATATAGAATGGTTGAATTCTTTTCTCCCTCTCTGAAATTTAATTAGAAAGTCCATTTATTGTATGTTTCAGAAGATAATAAAAGTCTACCTAAAAAGGAAATGCTATGTTACTTTGGGGAAGGGGGTGAGCTTCTGTAATAATATGCTGTAAAAGGCAAACACCCTGAAATGTACCGAAGGTGATTTCATAATCAATGGCCTGCTGATGTCTCATTTCATATGTGGAATCTAAAAGTCAAACTTTACCTACCAGATCTCTCACGTCTTTTCTGGTTAATATATTCTCCAATTCCAAAATCTAGTTTCAGCAGAACTGACTTGATTTTGCTGTATAGTTTTTGTCCCATATCATTACACTTAAACAGTGGACACAAAAATGCACACAGTACTGAAATATAAGAAGGAAGAGAGTGTGGGTAAGATGATCTTCATTTCAAAAGGCTACATCTTTGTATTTCACAAAAATATTTCAATTCCTTTTAGTGACAAACAGAAGGGTTTTTTTCTTAGGGAAATGCTGCTGTGAAATAAGTTTACAATTTCAATTCTTCTCCCTGCAATAACAACATTTATTCCTACATGCATGCGCGCGCGCGCGCACACGTTTATAGTCATTGTTTTCAAAGACTTACAATTAGATCAACTCCCTCCCTTCAATCCTTTACCCTCAAAATTTATACACAGATTCCATGCTTTCCAGACAACAGTCCTGGGTTAAGATCTCTACTTATTTGTTAAATGCAAATGCACCATGGGAAAATTATTATCTACTTGTCTCTCATCAGTCATATTAGGATAGTAACGTTATTTCAGGGCTGCTGTGAAGAGTAAATGAGACGAATGCAAACCATCTGAATAATGCCTGGCCCATATCAGACTCCCCTTCTCCACTCTCTTCTCCTCTACCTGCTGCACAAGGCAGATCAGAGGCTGACATTCTACATGAATTCTATTTGGGAGAATGGATTTGAGCTCGGACCATTTGCCATCTGTGGTATGCATTGGGAAAACAAAAAGAAATGAAGGTTGTATTGTCTTCCCTAATGTTTATTTCTTTGTTGTTAGGAAAAGTGCCTATTTACCTTTCAAATAGGAGATGCAAACTTAAATACCTCTAGCAGCCAAGGTGGTATGTAAAAATTTTAAAAGCTGGTGTGAGAAAAATAGGGAAATATAAGGGTTAAGTGGAACATGCCCACACCATCTAAAGGTGGCAGCACTAAATCATATTTTTCAGGAGAAGCAGGAAATCTACATTTTTTACAGCATTTTCTAATTATAATTGATGTACAGTAAATTACACATATTTAAAGTGTACAATTTGATAAATTTTGAGCCAGGCATACAACTAAGGAACCATCACCACAATCAAGACAGTAACTTATCTACCATCCTCCAGTTTCCACATGTGTCTATTAATCCTTTCCTCCTGCCTATCCTCGACCTCCCCTACCTCACCCTCAGGCAACCATTGTCAGCTTTATCACTAAAAATTAGTTTGAATGATACATTAAAAAAAATCATACATTATATACTCTTTTTAAAAAAAAATCTGGCTTCTCCCCACTCAATTAATTATTTTGAGATTTATCCAGATTGCTGCACATATTGATGTTTTTCATGCTGAGTAAAAATCCATTGTATGGATATACCACAATTTGTTTTTCCGTATATCTATTGATGGTCATATAGGAATTGTGTTCCATTTTTGCCTCCTACAAATAAAGCTGCAATGAACATTCATTCATGAGTCTTTTGTGGAAAAATGCTTTCATTTTTTTGGGTAAACACCTAGCTATGAAATGGGATATAAAGTAGTTTTTAAGAAACTGCCAAACTGTTATCCAAAGTGGTTGTACTATTCTACTTACCCACCAACAGTATGTGAGAATTCCAGCTGCTCCATATCCTTGCTAATGCTTGATATGATCAGCATTTTTAATTTTAGCCATTCTGGTGTAATGGTATCTCATTGTGGTTTAACTATTTTTTGAGCCACAGAACATGCACAAGGGCAAAGGTATTCGTGTGTCTGTGGGGGTAGGGAGTATACTTATTTATAGCTTTAAGACATCATTTAAAGTAACATTAATTACTTATAATCCTGCCTTTTGGCAACTATTCTTCCAATTTTAAATATAAACAAATCTCGATGACAAGGAGAAACTTCGGACAGATGAAATTAAAGAACAATCAACTTTCTTTATAATTAAGAACTCATCCCCTCCTCTTCCAAACTATGGATGGTCTTGTTGACCATTAAATGATACCACATGCATCGCATAAACTAGCCAAATGTTCTGCTATACTTACAGAGTAGATAGCTGAGTATAACCCCAGGAATGTAACTTCCCAAGATCATAAAAAACGTGCACACACTGCAGACCAGGAGGCAAAACTAGAAATCAGAGAAATAACACGTGACAGTTATGCATAATAGCAGGACATTTCAGAGTACAGGATACACACACACTTATTTTTCTATATGTGATCTATTAATTATGGTGAAGGCTTTTCAGTGTTCTTTTGCCCTTAGTTCTGACTAATGACTATAGCGTTCAACCAGCCTTACTCCATTTTCACACTTGGTAATAATCATTCTGACGTTCCAGAAGCTAATTTCTGGCACAGGGCACAATGTCTCCCATTAATCATGCCTGTGGCTTTTAGTACTGCCAGATGCCAGAGAACTGAAGATTTATTTGCCTCCAGAAACTTCTCTTACTCAGGATCACCCACTGGATATAAAGCAGCCTAGGAACTAAATCTGAAAGTTCAAACTACTTCTATAAGCAAAACATGTTACAGAAATTAGATGCATTTCTCTAAACATAACGGGAATTTGCACAGCTGATAAGCTACTGGGATAACTCTACTGGCCATTTTCATCCTCCTCCGTAACTATATCAAATTGATCCACTTCTACATCACCTAGAAACCAGCTGTGAATGAAATGAAATTCCCACAGTGAAACATGATTATTTTCCTTCCAGGAGTCATTTTAGATTAAAAAGAGAGACCCAATTATCTCCAAAAAACCCTTCAAATGACTAAGAGTTCATTTCATTTCCCTTTGACTTCAGAACCAGGCTGAACATTATAAACTGAAATTCTTAATATTTTTTTCTTCTTGGTCTGGATGACAAGACCAACCACCATTCGTTTTGTTAAGGAACTAGATAAATAGGTATAAAAATAGGAAACCAATCCAATTTCAAACTATGATGTTGAAGTTTGTCTAACGCTGACACACGAATGATTCTAAACCTTGCTGATACCAGCTCTTATGGGATGTGTTCCTAGTAGATCGTCTTCTGAACTGGAGACCACTTACAAGCTGGTAAAATAAGTTAACGCATTTGTTTCTAAGTTTACTGCACCATTTAAAGCACACACAGTCATTCTCCCACACTGGGAAACTTGCCTTGCCAGGGCTCTGCTGTTTGAAAAGAGACATTTCTTGAAGAAATATGCTGAAATTCATCCAGGATTCTGCAATACAGTGGCTGAGCCTGGGTTTTTCATCTGGTTTGGAAGTGATAACTTCCCAGCTAAAGAGAGAAGAAAGAAAACAAAACAAAAAAATTAAACGAACTTTGGATAATTCAACATTCATTGCTTCAGAAGCAAATATTTATTGAGCACATACTGTTGGCAACACTCTCTGGAAAGCCCTTGTGCAGAGGTAAACAAGCCAGACATCTGCCTAGCAAAGCTCAAGTGCCAAGAGAAGAAAGACAGACTAAACCACCAGCTACACAATACCCAGTTACAATAAGGGACGGCTGGGTGAGAGGTACAGGGTGGGGGCATTGCAACATCCTCTCTGAAGAAGTCACTTGAGCCCAACCATGGTGGCTCAGTGGTTGAGCATTGACCTATGAACCAGAAGGTTGCTCTTGGATTCCCGGTCAGGGTACATGCCCAGGTTGTGGGCTTGATCCCCAGTGGGGGGATGTGCAGGAGGCAGCCAATGATTCTTTCTCATCATTGATGTTTCTATCTCTCTCTCCCTCTCCCTTCCTCTCTGAAATCAATTTTATATATATACTAGTAGCCTGGTGCACGAAATTCATGCACATTAAAAGGGAATTAATTGCCCTAACCGGTTTGGCTCAGTGGATAGAGCATTGGCCTGCGGACTTAAGGGTCCCAGGTTCGAATCCGGTCAAGGGCATGTACCTTGGTTGCGGGCACATCCCCAGCAGGGAGTGTGCAGGAGGCAGCTGATTGATGTTTCTCTCTCATCGATGTTTCTAACTCTCTATCCCTCTCCCTTCCTCTCTGTAAAAAATCAATAAAATATATATTTTTAAAAAGGGAATTAATTAGCAGAGATATTTTAATATTGCTATTTGCTCTTTCTCTATAATAGAAGTGTGAGAGATGAAAGGAAATTAGTAAAATGTATATGAAAATCACATATAAATTTATTAATAAATAAACAGTAACAAAAGGATATAACAACAACAGAGGCATGATATAAAAACGACAAAAACATGATATGAAAACAACAAAAACATGATATAAAAACAACAGTGATGCAAACAATGGCTGATAAAGTGATTAAACTTATTCTAATATCTCCCTGTACACCACAGTAAGAGTGAAAACACTTTCAGAGTGCTTGACTAATTTCCCTTGTGATGAAGTACTTAGAACTTTAACTGTAACATCACATGCTCTTCGAACTCGAGAGAAAGTAACATATAACTGACCATGTGCAAAAACGGGTTCAGGTAGGAATATGCATACTTTGTCTAGAGTTTGTCCTTGTGATTTATTAATAGTCATCACAAATGCTGGCATCATGGGAAACCGTCGTCGAATCAGTTTAAATGGGAGGCCAGTGTCGGATGGGGACAAATTAATTCTTGGAATCAGAAGAGCCTCTCCCTTTGCAGATCCTGTTAATACTTCAGCTTCGATAATGTTAGGTCATAATCTTTTGATAATAAATCTGGTACCATTACAACGACCCCACTTACTATTGAGATTTCTCAATAGCATGATGATTGCACCCACTTTCAATTTTAATTCATGACACGGCATTCTCGAAGGAGTAATACTATTAAGAAATTCTATGGGAAAATTTTCCTTTTCAGCATCATCTGTGGAATCAATGGAATCATAGCAGTGGTTCTCAACCTTGGCTGCACATTAGAATCACCTGGGAATCTTTTTAAAATCCTGATTCCTGGGCCTTATCCTCTGGAAATTGTTTCTTTGTTATGGGGTGGGGCCACAACATTAGTAACAAAGAAACAGAATTAAAACTTTATTGTGGGGAGCCGCTACAGTGTTTTGGACAGGTTCAAGCCTTGGACTGATGAGAGGGTACAGTCCTCTCATTGCCACGTGCAAGTCCCAGCTTGGAGTGCAAGGCCCTCCCAGCACAATTATAGCCAACAGCTGTAGTTGTAAGCTTGAACCAATGGTCCGAACATGTGGCCCTGATGTAGGCTTGATAGAGTTCAGGTGCATGTAGTTGAGTAGGACTGAAACCCAGGAGAATGTTGTAAACATCTTGATCATGCCCTTACTTTGCCTTGTAGCATCTGCTATAAAATAAAGGCTGTGGGTGTGGTCGCTGTCTCTCAGAGAAGCAGCATCCCACCAAGACCCAGCTTTCATTCTCTTGTCTGTCTTTTCTAAGCCTTTCAGCCGCCCTCACTCAGGTTCACCCCTGGCCATGCTGGCGCGCAGCACACTTTAGAAAGATCTGCCTCTACACTCCGAGGGCGGGTTCCTGCCTCAAACCCCGCCCTTACAGGAAACAGCTCCAGGAAACAACTTGGGGGAGGGTGCAGCCATTGCCAAGACAACCCCTGCAGGACTGACTTCCTTCTGGTTGGTCGCCAGCCAGACCCCGGTTGTGATGAACACCACCCATGGTTTTTATATAAGTATATATATATTTTTAAAGAAGTCACTTGAAACTAAAATCTGGATTAGCAGGAGTTTATCATAAGGACTCAGAGAGTACCAGAAATAACAATGCACAACATATGCAAAGACCCTGCAGTGAGAAGGAGCTAAAAGCACTATTCTGAGCCCCTGGTGTGGCTCCAGCAGAGTGAACCAGGGGAATATCATTGCATGAAGCTGGGAAAGTAACAAGTGGACTGGGTCATACAGGGTCCTGTGGGACTTGTTAGAAATACTTCAAAGCTTAAGGATGGAGAAGCCACAGTACTTTAAAAGAAACCTTGGCAACAATCTTATGGTCATCGTCATCACCACCATCATCATCAACACCACCACCAACAGTGCGTTTTCAGTATGTACTATAATCGGTCAACTCTACAGAAAATTGTTCAACTCAACAGAATCTCACTATACCTCATATATTCCAGATCCTCATCACAGAATTTGTTGAATGCAATGCATGACCCAAGCAGGCACTGGGTCCCTACCCTCATTTTCCCCCAGGAACTTCAGTGAGCTAAAAATTAGCAACAATCACTACAGGAAGAAAACACAAGCAAATACAGGGCATTCCTTACAATTACAAAGACAAATCCCACTCTTGCGAGCCTAACTCATCTGAAAATATGTCAGTTCAAACAAGTTCTGCATAGGGCCTTCAAATTCATTCATTTAATACATAATTATTAGTGCCTGCCATGATGAGGCACTGCTATAAAGCTAAGGATATGGCCATAAACTAAACACACGTTCCAGGTAGAAGACAAGGATTATGAGGGAGCTATATCATCTGAGCTATGATTGCAGGGTTATCAGGGTGAGGCTGATCTCTGGATTCAACTCCAGTAGCCCTAAGTAAAGTCAAAACTTGTCTTAATATTGAACTAAAAATAAAAAATATTGAAATCATAATATTGAAAGAAAAAATCAACAGAATATATACAGTATGATTTCATTTATGTAAAGCTCAATATCACACTATCACACTAAGCTAACAAATTGTTTAAGCAAGGAAAGGACAAAAAACAGATTCAGGAGAGGAGTTATGGGGTGGGAGGCTGGATCAGTAGGGAATGTCACGTAATTAGAGCAAAGCACAGGGGAGCTTCCTGGGTATTGATCATGTCTATTTTTAAATTTTATTTTTCAGTTCGAGTTGACATACAATATTATATTAGTTTCAGGTGTACTGGTCACTTAACTTAGGTGATAGATCCATGAGAATCAACTTACTGTTCTTAAAGCTACACCTATATATACATGTGTACTCTATGGCCTCTATTTAAAACTGTGCTGACACTTAAATGTATAATCATGCTTTTTACTTAATGAATAACATTCTTACATGAGTATATCTCACTTCACATCCTACAGTCAAAATATAAATGTCACTTAAGTTTTTGCCTCAGTGTATGTACTTGTGAAGTAAAAGTATTTTTGGTGAGAGCCATGAAAATAACATTTTGAAAAGGTGGTATTTTATATAGATTCTGGAACCTTCTGATAATACTACCTTAGGATTCATGTCTCAGAAGTAACACATTTGTATACATGTTTTATTACTCCATTAAGTAAATGGCCTAAAATTAAAAAGAAGCCTAGTCTAATAATAAATTATTAAAATTACCTATATTATCTGCATAGAGATAATGTTATAGCAAAGTCCTCATACAACTTACAGTGTTTAGTACAATAAAATAATTAAAAATTCTGTTTTGCTCTTAAAGATCTTACCTATTTTCATAGTGGACTTCAAATGAATATGAAGAAGACTTAGTATCCATTTATCCATTACCTTATTCCCTTATTCAATAAAAAGTTATCAAGTTCCCCCACTGTGTCTTACATTATATTCAGTGTGTGTAGTATTGTTATTTCAAACCAACAAAAACCGAATACCTGTAGCACTGTTCCTTTCTCTGTCTACAGAGACCACTACTTACTTGGTGGGAAGGAGATAAGAGAATATTCATATGAATATTTTCCACAGCCATAAGATGACACTCTCATTTATATTAAACTAGAGGCCCTGTGCATGAAATTCATGCACTGAGTGGGGGGGGGGCGGGGGGGGGGAGTCCCTCTGCCTGGCCTGCGCCCTCTCGCAGCCTGCAGTCCGGGAGCCCTCATGGGATGTCCTACTGCCATGGAGGCAAGAGAGGCTCCCACCACTGCTGCTGCTGCACTCACCAGCCAGGAGCCCAGCTTCTGGCTGAGTGGCACTCCCCCTATGGGAGTACATTGACCACCAGGGGGCAGCTCCTGCACTGAGCATCTGCCCCCTAGTGGTCAGTGCACATCATAGTGTATAGTGACTGGTCGATCCGCTGTTCTATCTATTTGCATATTAGCCTTTTATTATATAGTATTTCTCCCCTTTAGGAAATGCCTCCTGTGACAGTATTTTGGGACAATAAATTCCATTGTTACTAACACTTATATTACCGTGAGAACTGTAAATAATTCTAATTTATATATGAATTATTATTACAATCAGCAACAGAAATGAAAAATTCACTGTGTACAAGTTGAAATTATTTTCTAACCAAATGGGTTTGGAAAGAGTAGTAAATGTTTTAGATAACAATTAATGTATTAATGGTGCTAAATACAATTTAATAGA